GAATTTTTTGGGAGGGGAAAAAAAAAAAAAAGCAGAAGTAGCCCAGTTCAGAAATAGTAGGGATTAGTGTAAATCCCAATGTCTCTTCAGTATACACTGGAATGCATTATACTACTTTAATGTGCTGTATTTTTTATTATTGGATACATTTGATTTTTCAAGTACATCTCTATATATAAATATATAAAATAACATGCACTGTAATAAAAGCTAAATTTAAACCTTCGGTGCAGTGAGAATCACTCATGGCAGGGAGGCATTTGCTCTGGCTCTGCCCACCTCTTCCCCTCCAGCTGTAGCCCCCACACCTGAAACAGTCATTCCTCAGCATTCCCCAGTAGCCAGTACTCCCAAAGCATTGCTCATGCTGGGGAAAGCACTTAGAGCAGCCCAGTGGGAGACTGGATATTTTTTTTGCCACAGCACCACAGGAAATTTCACCAATTAATTAAAAAAAAAAAAAAAGGGTTGGTCAAGTCTTTCCTCAGAAGAGAGCAAGGAAGGTGGGTGGGCATCCCTATGCCTGAGGGGGCGGTTGTGGAAAAACTTGTATTTCTTACAAAATACGTTGCTTTCTCTTATACTCCTGTGAAACTTGGCAAGGAGCAGCCTGCTTGATGTCTGCTCTAGTTACAAACCCCACATTTGCAGTGGAGCTTGAAATCCAGAGAGGGCAAAGTCGGACTGCTGCGTCGATGACGGGTGAAGTGGCAACAGAGTAAAGCTCATTCAAGGTGTTAGCATTTGGACTAGAGTGAAGCTTTTTTCCCCAAAATTTGGATATGATTTTAGGCAAATCCTTTCACGGTAGTTATAATCACAGCAGCTTTTCCTATGCAGCCCTAACCCTCAGATGTTCTCACACCCAGTTCCCAAGCACCTTTGACAATCACAGGTGATTTATACTGAGAAAAATGAATTTTTTTTTTTTTTTTGTATATCCATGGCATGATCTTTTAACATAGATCATTGTGGCAGCGTACGGGTCAATCTGTTTTCCGCGAGGCAGAGCCAAAAGCTTTAGATGTGTTAGAGCAGACAGTGCTGCACAACCTGGCAGTGAAGCCCATCAGCAGGGGCAGAGGTTGGGCAGTGTTTGCTTTCTAGGAAGGAAATTATCTCTGAAGAGCGGAGTGTCGCGAGCGGAAGAGTGCCAGATCTGCCTCCCTTCAACGGTAAGTGCAGAGCTGGGGAGATACTCAGTCTCTGACCACACCGTGCAGCTCCTTCCCCTCCACCGAGGCCAAGCAGTGCTTTTTTGGGAGAGCCGCAGCTCCTCTCACTGTGCACTGAGCAGCTGGAGGGGCCGCACCATCCATGGCGCTGCCATCCATGGGGAGGGGCGGGCCCGCACGAAGGGTGCCAGGAGCCCGACCCCGGCCAGCCCCAGCAGCAGCCAGAGCAGCCGGGCGCTGGCGTACAGCGGCCCCAACCTGTGCGGAGAGAAGAACGCCATCGACACCCCCAGCCCACCCGGGATGCGAAGCGTGTTGGCGGAGAGCTTGGCATCCCCCCACCCTCCCTCGAGACTGAGCCACGGGTGATGCACAGGGGGGTGATACACATCTGCCTTCAGTCCCAGCTGCAGGAAGGAAACCTGCCCCAGGGACCACAGCCAGCCCCCAGCCTCCCTGGGATGGTTTGGGGTGCCCACAGCCCCGGATGGGTA